TTATATTAAATTATTTTTTTAAAAAAAAAACCTAAACTCACTTTCTTTTAATGGACGATTTAGACATTCAGTATATTGCATTCACATTTTTATAATAATACTAATCCAATTATTATTATCAGAAAATACTTTATTTAATTCTGTCATATTGTCATGGAATTTATAACCTGAAAAAGTCCCCGAAAGGACAGATTATTATATCATAAAAAATCATATTTAAAGAAAAAGGCAGAAAAGTTTTAAAAAATTGTACTCTGATCCTTCACGTTCTTTATGCTTTATCTGAGACTTTCTCCATCATTTTCTCTTCCTTTTTCTCTGAAACTCCAGAGGGGTTTTCTGGGATTTTAGAGCCACAGTGAGACACTATAAAAAGTTGCTTTGCTCCTCAAAGTCTCCTCCTTTCTCTTTATATTTCAATGTTTTCATATGGGTTATGATTCTTTCTGTTTAAGGATTCAAGGAAGGACTCTGTACCAGCAAAAGCTTCAGGAAAGTCAGCTCTTTCATTCAAAAATGAACGGAGGAGATCCAGCAATCAAGCTCTTTGGCCGCAAGATTCCTCTGCCAGAAATCCAGATTCAGGCTGGGGTATGTAGTCCTCTGAATTTAATTATGTGTTTTCATCTTTTGTGCTGACTGCTGAGTCTGCTGACCATTTATGGTGAAGTACCCATGTGGGGTATTGATGTATTGTTAGTGTTTCTGGGAAAATTTGATTATCTGAATCAGTTTTATGTTACAGAAATGGTGTTATCCTTTTTGGGTTGGGGGGGGGGGGGGTGTTATTTTCTCTTCTGGCTTGGAGATGAGATTGGTTTTTGTTGAAAACATTTATTATTGAAGTGTTTTTGGGATGAATTGCAAACTATGTTTTGGTTCCTCTCTGTTGCAGGGATGTTAAGCAGTTTCCTCTCTGTGCAGGAATGTTAAACGATTTTCTTTCTTTTCATTTTCCACTTTCCATTTATGTCTATAATTTTGAATGAGCTAAATATGCCTTTAACTTTTGGTGAGAATTGGGCTAAGTATACTGGGGAGCTGCCTAACTATTATGTTTTGCTTTTTTGTTCTTTAGGATTACTTTATTTATTTTAAAATTAGCTTTAGAAAAGTTCCTTTTTATTTTGTGCCTGTTTATTATCCCCCTGCCTTTTACTTATGAATCAATTGGGTGCCGTGTGTACCTCTTCTGCTTTATGCTACTGTTCATATGCCTTTGGTTAGACAATTCTGCATTTACTGGAGATCCTTAAAATGTTTTTTGTGGCAAAAGTAAATTGCTGTTGTATTAATTTTTTTTTTTTTTTCAATAAAATCCATTTTGAGAAAGCAAGTTTTGTGATGATTTGGGTCGGGTACGTTGTAGTTTATATGGAAAGACAAGATTAGTGTTCATGTAATGTATTATCAAATTATCTCTGAAGGTTAGAGAATTTTTCAGGAGCTAAATTTGAACAGTATCTGGCATACTTGGTTCTTAATATTAGATTGGATCATGTAATTTTAATCCTTTCATCTTTAGATAGTCTTTTCTTGCTATTTGTAATAAAGAAGAGCTTTCTATAGTTACTTTTCAATTTTAGATTCCATTTGTGGGGGGAAAAGTGTACCTTAACTTAATTTATTAGATGCTGTTAATTGTTGATAGCTTTCCAAAAAGTCAGTTAATTATGACAGTCATACTTTCTAGCTCTTTTCACGGCCAAAAGAAAAATGCTTCCTAGCTTTTTTCTGTTTAATATCTCCCATTGATCATTATCTAAACTTTGGAGCCAGGTCACTTTGAACTTTTTGCACAGAATTTAGTTAGTAACAGCTTCCTTCTATATTGTTAGATATATCTTGAATCATTGATTGGTTCATCTGCACAGTAAATTCATCGCCAATATTCCATGATGATCATTTAATATGTTCTATGATTCTGATTTTAAATATTAACACTGATGGAGAATCAACAGTGGCCTCTGTTATCATTCATGAGTTATATAACAAAG